ACTCAGTGGTCCATCAGTCTTTTGCAATCCTTTTCTGCTCTTTAATGGTGACACCAATCTATTTGCCAATCGAGAAGGTGAAAATGATCTCGCAATGCCTTTTTCCGAACTCTTTCTGCTCTTCAATGGTGACACCAATCTGTTAGCCAATCGGGAAGGTGAAAATGATCTGCGAAGCTTGGAAGTAGCTGATTCTTTTGGTGATTTCTTGCTCATGTTGGTTGATTTTGTAGGCGATAGTGAAACCACGGGTGGGCTCTTGATCTTGACTTGAAATTTCGAAGTCGATGGAGGAGACTTGATCAAGAACTTATGTGGAGTTTGCCTATTTCTTGCAATCACTGGAGACCTTGTCTTGCAGAACTTCTGTTGCTGTGAAGCAGATGTTGAACTAAACAAAGGGTTTGGGAATAAAACAGTCTTTTTAGCCCAGGGCCTATTCCTTGGTGACACCCTATTAGCCATAAGTCTATTGTTTTCCTTCCCATGTTCCTTGAATTTGGGAGGAGAAACCTTGAAGTTGATCCGGGAATGAGCCCTTCGAAGAGACGGGGATTCGGATTCGGTTTGAATCAGCTGTATTTTGTTCTGTTTCTCCCTCTTTCTCCTGGCTTTCAGCTCAGTGTTCTCAGGCTGTTGCTTTTTCTTCCTACGTTCAGTCAATGGAGTTTTTGGATCCTCAACTGTGGTCCTCTTGACTTTGTTATCAACCGCTGCTAAAATCTCTTTTGCAAATTGACTAGCTTGAAGTATTTCCCCCACTGTTTCTCCTACTAGCATTGCTGGTAATGACATTCTCTTCCATTCACCTGCATAAAAGCATGTCAAGTTCAGCAAAAGGTCGAAATCCGATATTCGTGATTGTCCCTCCTAGCAGTATCGTTTCGAGTTCAACATAAGTAAAAAAGAAACCCCATTTGTTTCCAATACCTCTTGCAGCAGCTGGAAACTTCCCTACAGGTGATTTCCTTGGAGATGTACCATTCTTCATTCTACATAAAAACAAAAGCAAACACCTCAATCTTTTCTTTTTGTCATAGATTAAATACGAAAAATCAACCAATAACTAGTTGATTTAAAGGATGAGATATTAGATCTTTTAATTAAAATCAGGAGTTCGAATTATGGGTTAGGAGGGTCGCCTCATACTGAACCTTTACAAAATCCAATCCGGAATAATCAATCAATAAATTAGATATATGTGGTTAAAAAAATCAAAATCCCAAATATGAGCATACCTCAAAGACTCTTGCTTGCACCTGAGACTAGTTTTCAAATAAGCCCTAGTACTTCTAGGACTCAGTTTCACCCCTGAAATAACCTTCGTCCCTCCGGCCACCGTATACTGCAACTCTTGTAATCTCGCCATACATTTCTCCACCTTCAAACGATCCCACAAACAGATAAACAAATAAACCCTAAAAAAAGCGAAAAAACAAAACAAAAGTGCCCAACTTTACCTTCTTTACGGTTTCTCGGAGTAGAACAGGATCAAGAGGAGCCACCACGATTTTCCTTTGCTTTGGTGGGGTTCTCGCAACCATTATTGCCCAGAAAGAAAAGAAATTTCCAGCAGCCAATAAACGGAGAACACTAAAGGAAAATGTGGGTCTTTACTCTTTTCTCAAATGAATTGTTTTTTGTTGTTCTTCTTCTTCTTCTCCCCCGCTCCTCAGCTACGCTCCTCGTTTACTTTGTTCTGCTCTATATACCCATCAATAAAATTTTGGGCTTTTCTCTTTGAATCTAAAGGATTTTCAAAAAAGTCAAAAGCTTTTTTGGTTTGGGATGGAGATTACTTTGTGTAGTGATGGGTAACGTATATATGCCAACGGCTACTTGTATTTTTCTTTTAAAACTAATAATATTTTGAAATAGAGGACCATTGATTAATGATTATGGTGAGAAAAATGTTTTATTCCTTCTTTTACGCTCTGTTTTGAAAATCGGATCGGATCGATCGGTTCAACTGGAAATTATTGTTTAGTTCGGTTCAATCTACACTGATTGAACTGTTATTAGTGAACCGGCGAGAACCGCTGAACCGTTCGAACCGGACCGGCTGAAAACCGGAAAAAACCGGGAAAAATCGGGAATTTTGTTTTTAAAAAAAAAATTAAACCAAACAACGTCGTTTGTTAAACGAGCCAAGTCGAACTCGAGTATTGCTGAGCTCGACTCGAGCTTGAAAACTTTAAAAGTAAGCTCAACTCAACTCAAACTCGCAAGCTAAAAATTATCAAGTTCAACTCAAACTCGAAATATAATATTGAGGCTTGAACTCAAAAAAAAAATTAGAAGCTTGATTGAAGCCTAAAATTCGAGCTTGATTGAAGTGAAAGAATAGTTCACTCAATGCTCACCAAAAGGCACCATGATTTTGAATGTCAAATTACCTCTATTATTTATAGAAATTAGTTGTGATGCGCTTTTATGTTTCTTAGCAATGTGAGATTGTTTTGTTTTTATATTTTTACTCTTTAGACTTTTGGGATGCTCTTCTATGTTTCTTAGCCATGTGAGATTGTTTTTAAAAAAAATTAAACCAAACAATATCATTTTGTTATGATTTTTTTAACCCCAAATTTATTTTTTAATTATAGTTATATAATTATATTTATTATTTAATATGTTTTACCTTAAATATTATATTGTAGTTAATTTGAATCATTTTGTTTCACTTGATTTTATGGTTTTTAACTTATATATGTTATGAATTGCTTTGAATATGACTTGTGATATAAAAAATTATATTTTTTATTAAATATTTTTGGTATTTTTATTTAATTTTTAAATAATTATGACATCGTCCGGTTCTTCCGACCGGTCGGACCGATTCGACTGGTTAAACCAGTGAACCAGTAGCATAACCGGTTCGCTAACCGGTCCAGTTATGAAAACCATGCTTTTACGCTTTGGTTCACATTATTAATTCTTAAAATTTAATATTTCAAAAAAATAATTCACAAAATTTAATTGTCGGATAATATATATTTTTAAAATATATCCCATTTAAAAATAAGTAATCATTTTAACATTTTTTCTGGATTATTTTTTAATTTAACATCATTCTATGCCACGTAAGTGGAAGAAGCTCTCTATAGGAAGAGCCTTTCAAAATGTGTTTTCTGCAAGAAGCGCCTTTCGTAGGAAGCACCTTCCACCTACATAACACAAAGATTAAAAAGTCTTTAAGTTCGGCTAAATAAAAGGAAAAAAATATGAAAGATTTTTTTTTATATATTTTATCCAAAAAGAATAAACGGGTGCGATATGTTTTAAAGATATGTAATTGCACAAGCACAAAAAAGAGTCGGGTTGCACGACGACGGTGACACACGTATATTAGCCAATATTGTTTAGATATGTGGGTCTTCAAGTGTTTAAATATGACATTTTAAATATGCATTTATTGAGTGATTGAACATAAGATTAATAAACGAGCGCCACCACCTAACCTGTGCTTATGCAATTGCGTGCCTTCGATACACACTGACTGTGTTTATTAATTTTAAATAAAAATTATATAGTTTTTTTTCATATTTGTATCTATATTTTTCTTTTTCTTTCATTTCAATCTTAATTTAAAAAGTTTTAATCTTTTTGTGTCATGTAAGCAAAAACGCTTCCTATAGAAAACACATTATGAAAAAGCACTACCTACATGACACATCTTCTACTGACATGACACAAAAAGATATAAGATTTAGAAAAATTTGAAACGAGTTTTAAAATAGTAAAGTATTTTTAAAAAGAGTATATTTGAATAAAATACCTAAATAATTACATGAAAAATAATTTATCAATAATCTAAATATTCATCCTAAATCATCGTTATATTACAATTGATTTTTAACTCATTGATAAAATAACATATTATGAAATTAAATTAAAAAACATTTTTTAATCCAAATTCATTTTAACTAAATTATTTTTTTCAAAATCTCTTTCCTTTAAGTTTAGAAGGATGACCCACTCTTCAAACATGTCAAGTAATGGTTAAAGTCTCATTGTATAACCAAGAAAAGTTATTTTATATCTTTCAACTTAGTATAAATCTTTTGATTTTAATCGAATTAAACGTTATAACTTTAATTATTAACCAACCATGTCACCTATAAGTGATTTAATTTTTGAATGCTGTAATTGAAGTAAATCAAAGGTTTGTATATATTCAAAAATTGAAGTTAAATTAATGTCCATTACTTTTTAAATCATGTTATCGAGTAATTTTAATGGTTAAGAGATTGCCATTATCCGTTATGGTTTTAGGTTCGAGTATGACATCTGTAGGGATATATGAATATTCATTCTTAAATGGTTGAAAATCTTTCGAACAAATACTATCTCATATATTCACTTTATATTGATAAAAAAATCTAGAAAGTAGGACAACATAATCCGTTCTTTTTAACAAACAAACGTATAATCGATGTTATTTTTTGTGTATGAACCATATTTATCTAATGCTTATCCGTTTAATAGTCTAAGAAAAAACTTATTATATCAAATAAAATAAAATATATAAATGATGTTATTTTAAAAAATCATTCTTATTAACAAATATATGCTTCAACTAAACAGATTACATTAAAATAATAAAAACATTTTAAATACTTCAAAATTGAAATTTAAGACTTAAAAATATATTGTTCATTTAAATTACATGTTTAGTATCTCAATTATCAATTTTATTTTATTTTGATCATTGAATTATTTTTATTTCAAAATCATACATAAAGTTACGTTTTAATTTTTGTCATCCATTATTAAAAAAATAATAGTGATCCTGATGTGTCAGCATAAGATAATATCACACCATCATTATTTTTTTTTAAATTCCACATCAATAGCTCTGTTATTTTTTTAATGGCATGTGACTAGAATGAAACCAAAAATGTAATGTTAGGTATTATTTTGGAAAAAATAATTAAGTGACTAAAACGGAACAAAAGTGATAGTTGGGATACTGAACATGTGGTTTACCCAAATATCCAAAATTAGAGTAGAACTAATTCAACTCCAGGGCGATTTTTCAAGAGCTGACGAGCAAAGTTCTGTGCCATTTGTTTCGTAGCTTCAGCAAACTCCTCCGAATATATTATTTGTAAAGAACAGACATCGGAATGGAGTATAATCTTCTCAAGATTAATGGCACTTTTAACCAAATAAGTAACAAATTCAGCTTCCTCCATTTCTCCCAAGAATCCAACTATTTCCACCTTCTTCATGTACTGATTCGGGCGCAACTCCACCTCATCTACCTTGCCTAAACTGCTCTTGTTCTTACGGTAATGATTGAAATTTGTAATCTGATTCAAAAGTTTCAACACATAAATCACGTATAAGATAATCATCTTCCTTCAAGTGATTAAGATCGACGAAGTTCATATTCGACATACATACATGAACATTGCTAGTAAAAGGGAATTTTTTTTAGAGGATTCAGGTTCGAGTAGTTATATCTGTAGGGTATGTGTGCATTATCAATAAACTATTAAAATAGATACTTTGAGTCACAAGCGAAATAGATAGCTTGAATGACAAGCAATGGGGGTAAAAGAACCAACCTCTAGTTTAAGCTCGCACAAGTAAGGTGATGCCTCTATCAAAGTTCTCAAATTGGTAAGTCTATCTTCAGATTTTATTTTAACTTGACAGTTCAAGTACCGAAGATTAGTACATTTCGGAAACATCGATAAATCATCCTGTGAGATCGAAGAGAAATCAAATTAGCAAACAACTTCAAATTAACATACGAAAGAAATCAATCTGTTTTACCTTTGATGAAATATTCAATCTCAGAATCTGCAATTGAGGAAGATAATTGGATAGCTGAGAAACAATGTCTGCAATTTTAGAGCTCGGTCGTTTATAGTAATAGAGCTCAGTGAATTTGGGTGCATGCCTTATATCCAATGTTACTAATCGTTCTTCATGGTATTCAAATGAAACAAGATTTGGTGCAGACACTTCAATGCTTTCCACAGATTGACATTCAGATATGTGTAAGTGTTTCAACCTCAGTGATGAACCTGAAACTTTAGGATGTCTGAGCAGATTTATGTTTCCGAGACGGAGGCTTTCGAGCATCGGACAATTCGACAGAATCGACTCCATTGTCTTATCGGTTACTTCCACATGTTTCAAACAAAGACTATCAAGGAATTCAATCCCATGGAAACATTCTTGTGGAAAAGCGTAATATGTTCTAAAATTCCAATCCAGTAATGGTCGGATATCCAGTTCCAGCCTTTTGACCTTCTTTCTCATTGCGATCTCGATCCATTTATCGATGTCACGCCGTGAATCCTTGATCAAGTCGAATCGGACTCTAAGTTCATCAAAGGTTGAACCTTGATGAGAAATTAAAACATTACTGACCCATTTTACAAATTCAATCCTCTTCCTTTCAAGATTCTCCATAAACTTATCATCAACAGGTTCATCAATGTCATCACATTTGGCATAATCTCTACCGTGATCTACCGTTATTAGGCCATCGAAACTAAAAACAGCAGGCCAAAATTCCCAGAGTTGTTTCCATCTGTGAGAAAGAAATCTGGTTTTCAGTACTGCATCTTCGGGATTGAGAAAAGACAAGATTCTGATAAGAACATCATCAGGCAATTCACTTATTAAATCCCTCCTATACTCCTCATCATGTTCGACCTGTTTTTTTACAAATCAAGAGGCAAAAAGGTAAGGAAAAAGGCATTAACTCAAACATATAAACCAACGTACTAATAATCATATATACCAGCATTAATTAGATATCGCATAAAAAACAAATAATAATAAAAATATCAGAAAATCATCGTGAGAAGAAGAAAAAATGATGAGTTTCTTATAGGATTAGGATGATAACTGACCATCTTTGAGTAGCGGCGCTCTAGTTCTGATATTGAAGTAATAAAGTAGAGAGTAGGTTATGAGATTTGAAGTTTTTATTATATTTCAAAGAGGACGAGTTTAACTTGTATTAGGTATCTAATTATAATATCCTACTTTATATTTGTTTAGATAATATAAGAATTTACCTTAGATTATTATTATTAAGATAAATTATACTTATGATTACTTGATTATTATATCTTTTTGTACTTTAATCATCAATTTTTTAGTTTTATCAATCAGACGACAAGCTTCATGTCCTTAACATTTAATGAAAGTATTGACGTGACAGTTAATAAAATTGATATAACTATACATTTGATCTTTAATACTTAAACATTCTATCAATTCGATTCTAATAAAAATGAGTCTAACATTTAATTTATCACTGAAATTACTTGATGAGTTAATTTTTTTTTTAATTTTTGACAATGTAATAAAAATGTCTAATTTCTATTTGTTTAGATAATATAAGAGTTTTTCTTGGATTATTATTAAATTTTTAATATTCACTATGTGTTGTAACAGATTTTTGGTGCGAAGACCGATCCGACATTTTTAGAAAATAAATAGAATTAATGAAAAGATGGAAGTCGTCACCAATCATTTTTAAGGTGAGATTAGAACACCTAAAATCAAACAATTTTAATAAAATATTTTCTTTTATAAAAAATACCAAGTTTTGGTATGCGAAATCAAAAACCGGGTTCGAGAGTCAGTTTCGCGTGGGGAATGATTAGCACCCCACAACGCCTAAAATTGTTACCTAGTCGATTACCCTATATTTTAAATTAAATAAAATTTTAAGTTCAAAATTTTATTTAATTTAAAATCCACTATGTTGCATATTTTAAAAAAGATGTTGATTTACCAAGACTAATAACAAAAACACCCCCGAGAAAAAAACGGAAGCTTCGTTATCAATTACAATAAATGGACATTGCCTTAATAATTTAGAAATCATGATGTGAGGTTTTGAAAAGAATGTTGATTTACTTCGAGAATCAATAGCAATCTCCCCGGGCAAAAGCGGGAGATATGCTACTAACCACTAATAAATGAACATTGCCTTATTTTTTAAAAACAACATGCAATCAAATAATCAGTCATTAAACCTAATTATACTAAATTAATTAATTAAAGCTTCGCTCTAACTTAAAGTGTCAAATTATGGAATTTAAAGAACTTGGGGGATTAAACCTAAAAATATAGGCTTTAATATTAATCCAAATCACCTTCAATGAATTATTGGGTCGAATAGTTAAAATGGAACCTCGAGCAAAAGCGATGACCAAATAAAAAATTCTCCTAAATTAAAAGGCTACGTTTGAAATTAGACCTAAAATGAAGGCTCTAAATATTAATCTATTCAATTTTAATCAATTGCTAAGTTAAATAATTAAAATGGAGCCTCTAGCAAAGTCGAGGATAAAATTAAGAATTCTCATAAATTAAAATGACTAAATTTGAAATTAGGCCTAAAGTGAAGACTCTAATAATTAACCTAGTAAATTTTAACCAATTTTTTTTATTCGAATAACTAAATTGGAACCTCGAGCAAAAGCGAGGACCATATTAAAAATTGACCTAAATTTAAGGACTAAGTTTGAAATTAAGCCTACAATGGAGGCTCCAATTATTAACCTAATTAATTTTAACCAATTATTTGATTCAAAAAATTAAAATGGAACCTCGAGCAAAAGCGATGACTAAATTAAAAATTACCCTAAATTACCTAAAATCTGAGTAATCTAGATTAGGACTAAAATTATAAAAATCTAAATCAAAAGGTTTAATTTAAAATCTAAAATTCTAGGACTAAATTTAAAGAAATTGAAATTAAAGACAAAATTAAAAGCAATTAATAAATATAAAGGGACTAAATTAAAATAAATTAAAATACAGGGCTGAAATTAAAATTTATCAAATAAAGGGCTAAAATAAATGAAAACTTATATTAAAGCTTAAGTTAAGAAGTTGCAGAAAATTCAAAAAAAAATTAAAAATTACCCTAAATTACCTAAAATCTGAGTAATCTAGATTAGGACTAAAATAAAAATCTAAATCAAAAGGTTTAATTTAAAATCTAAAATTCTAGGACTAAATTTAAAGAAATTGAAATTAAAGACAAAATTAAAAGCAATTAATAAATATAAAGGGACTAAATTAAAATAAATTAAAATACAGGGCTGAAATTAAAATTTATCAAATAAAGGGCTAAAATAAATGAAAACTTATATTAAAGCTTAAGTTAAGAAGTTGCAGAAAATTCAAAAATTAGTGTTTAAAGGTCTAAAATGTAAATGTTGAAAATTAAAGGCATAAATTAAAATAAAAAAAATTAAAGGGCAGAAATGTAAATAACAGAAAATAAATCAATCGAATAAAATTAGAAGTTAGGGATTAATTTTTAATTGTTACTTGGACCATAAATAATAAGAATCATACCCTAGGGCGGGTCATCGTGAAGTCGTAAAATGATTCGAATATAAAATTAAAAGGTTAATGGTTAGTAAATAAGTAAATTTGCGGTTAAGTTAGAAATTTACCTGGACCATAAATAACGGGAATCATACCCCAGAGGTTAGAAATTTACCTGGACCATAAATAACGGGAATCATACCCCAGGACGAGTCATGACGAGGTCGTATTAAATGTTTAGTATCAATATTTTAATTATTGGACTAAAATAAAATAAAATGAAAAATAACAGTACCAACTTAGAATTGAAAAAAGGAATAACATAACTAACAGTGACCAAAATATAAACAAGCAAAGAAACATGTCACAATTAAAACAAATAAAATGTAAGCAAGTAATCAAAATATAAATAAACAAAAACAGTATCTCAGAATTAAGATAAACTAAAAACGTAAAAGTGACAAAAAAAAAGCATAACAATAGCGACCCAAATTCGAAACAGATAAGAAAAAGATTAAATTAGTGACCAAAATAGAAAATCACGAAAAAGATTGGATGGCTTAAAGGAGATTCATCCTAAAAGTTTAGTATATGGTTTAAAAAAGTACTAATTTGGTTAAAATCTACCCTAAGCATAAAAAAACCTAAAGTCTCTTATTTTTTCTCTCAAAGGACACTCTTCCTCTCTACCATGCGACCCGTGGGTTAAAGGAGATTCACTGCTGTTACCATCCATATATTTTGATTTTTGCTTTGTTTGTATCTGTGCTGACGAGGAGGAGGAAGGCACCACTTTGCGCTGCATGCGTGGCGAGGCTCGATCGAGGAGGGGATGGACCACTGACACTGTTGCACTCGTGGAAGCTGATGAGGAGGAGGGACCACTCGGTTAGCTGCTGTGAAACCCCAAATATGGGCTTATTAACGGGCTATTTAATTGGGTTTAGGGCTTGAATGTAATGGGTTTTGATTATGATAAAATAGTTGGGTAAAAATGTAAATGGGTATTTTGAATGTAATTGGGTTATGGATTTGTTTGGTGAATGGACCTTTGGGCTTTTAATATTTTGTTTGTGATATCAAAAAAATGTCTTAAATTTATTAATTTGGGCTCCAAACATGTGATCAGCAAACCCCAACTTGCAATTAGACGAAGATTTGAACTCGAGGCTAAATACGAAATTTCGGGAACAATCTTAAAAAAAACGTCTCTTAACTCTCGAATTAATCTTCGATCGCCGAATTTGGATTGCTTGGACAAAATTAGGGTATCACACTATGGATATCGAAATTCGCAAGGTACTTCTAAAACTCCTAATTAAGTTTCGATACTAAGAGTTAAGTTTCGAAGCACATATGTATTAGGGATCAAATTTTACTTGTTTAAACTAGTAAAATGCTATAACATACATATTAATCCTTAAATTTTATATGTATAATATTATAGTTTCATAAATATGATAAGATGCATGTTTCAATGTTTGATAGGTATCTAAAGTATTTTTTTGGTCAAAATAGGTACCAAAACTATTCAATCATTTTCATCTAAGTACTTAAAAGTACACTTTAATTAATGTCATGTCAATTTTTTCAGAACTTAGATAAAAAAAGATTAAATAATTATCTAATTTGACTAAAAAATACTGTAGGTACTTAAATGAAAAAGATAATATACTTTATGTAATTATTTGTGACTATATTCCCATGTTTTGAACAAATAACAAGCAAGCATAAAAGCGACATTATTTTTGTGTGTGAATTACATGTGTTTTATGTTTATCTATTTAACAATATATGTAGAGACTAATCATATCAAGTCAAATAAGACATATAATCTATTTTATTTAAAAAATTCATATCAACTAACAAACATATACTTGAACTAAACAAATTACATTGAAATAATAAAAAAACATTTTAAATAGCTTAACAAGTATTGAGTTTGAGTCTTCGCATAATGTAGAAAATTCTCGTTGAGAGACTTGTCCACCAAAAATAGATGTAGGATACGGATGGATTTGGATTAATCAATTCCTAAAAAACTAAGAGGGAAACAAAAATATATATATATATATGGTAAAGAAAATCAGAGTGGAACTAATTCAACTTGAGGGCGGGTTTTAAAGAGCTGTCGAGCCAAGTTTTGTGCCATTGGTTTTGTAGTTTGGGCAAACTCCAAATATATCATTTGGTTAGAAAAGAAAACGGAATGGGGTATCATCTTCTCAAGTTTAATGGAACTTTTAACCAAATATGCAACAAATTCAGCTTCCTCCATTTCTCCCAAGAATCCAACTATTTCCACCTTCTTCAGGTACCTATTCGAATGCACCTCCACCACATCTACCATGTCGAAACTGCTC